ATAGAAATTTTTTGATATTTGCAACCATAGTAAAGCAAAGACTTATATTTTTGATATTTATTTTATATATTTAAATGCCATTTAACAAAGAAAAACCAACCAAAAAAATGAGTTCACGTGTCACCTCTGACACGCTTGTCATAGGTTCGCCATCACTGGTCTAATCAAAAGACATAGGATAGCTAAAAGGATAATAAAACATGACCCATATATATGCTGTCTACAAGAGACCCACCTCATAACAAAAGATACACACATACTGAAAGTAAAGTAATGAAAAAATACTTCATGCAAATGGAAGCAGACAAAAAAGAACCTGGGGTAGCAATATTTATATCTGACAAAATAGACTTCAAAACAAAGGCCATAAAAGAGACAAAGAAGATCACTACATAATAAATAAAGAAATCAATTTAACAAGAGGATATGACCCTTTCCCTTGCCAGTGTGGCTCAGTTAGTTGGAGTGTTGTCCCATACACCAAAGGTGGCAGATTCAATTCCTGGTCAGGGCACATACTCTGCTTGGGGGTTCAATCCCCAATTGGGGTGCATGTAGGGGGCAGCTGATTGATGTTTCTCTCTCACATCAATATTTATCTATCTATCCATCCAACATCTATCAATCTACCTACCTATCTCTCTTCCTCTCTTTAAAATCAATATTTGTTTAAAAAGAGGATATAACCCTTGTAAATATCTATGTACCCAACATAGAAGCACCTAAGTATATGAAGAAAATCTTTTTTTTTTCAGGTGCCAATTATCAGTATTTTTATTTTTATTCTGGTGTTTTAGGTTTTTGTTTTTTTTATCTTTATTGTTAAAAGTATTACATAGGTCATTCTTTTCCCCCCATTAACCTCTTCCAGCCCACTTTTGGCCTCACCACCCCTAACCCCCAGGCCCTCACAATCCCATTGTCTGTGTCCACAGGTTATGCATATATGCATACAAAGTCAGTGGTCTTTTCCCACCCACCCTCCCCTGCCTTCCCTCTGAAGTTCAATAGTTTGTTCATGCTTCTATGGTGATGGGAAAATTGGACAGGTACATGCAAAAAAAGGAAACTAGGCCATCAACTTACACCTTACACAAGATAAAAATCATAAAAATTCTAGAAGAAAACATAGGCACTAAAAACTCAGACATCTATTATAGCAATATTTTTGCTCATATTTCCTCAGGCAAGGGAAACAAAAGAAAAAGTAAACAAATGAGACTACATCAAACAAAGAAGCTATTGCACAGCAAAGGAAACATCAACAAAATGAAAAGGGAATCACCACTGAATGGGAGAACATATTTGCCAATAGTACATATGATGAGGGATTTATCTCCAAAATACATAAATAACTTATGCAACGTGACACCAGGAAGACAAACAACCCAATTAAAAAATGGGTAAAAGACCTGAATAGACACTTCTCCAAAGAGGATATATGGGTGGCCAATAGACATATGAAAAAATGCTCAACATCACTAATCATTAGAGAGATACAAATTAAAAGGACAATGAGGTATCACCTCACACCTGCCAGAATGGCTATCATCAACAAATCAACAAACAACATGTGCTGGCGAGGATGTAGAGGGAAGGGAACACTCGTGCACTACTGGTGGGAATGCAGACTGATGGAGCCACTGTGGAAAACAGTATTGAGTTTCCTCAAAAAATTAAATATGGAACTGCCATTTGACCCAGTGATCCCACTTCTGGGAATATATCCTACAAATCCTGAAACACCAAGCAGAAAGAATATATGCACCGCTATGTTCACAGCAGCATAATTTACAATAGCTAAGATCTGCCCATCAGGAGATGAGTGAATGAAAAAACTGTTGTACATTTACACGATACTACTCGGCTGTAAATATGAAGGAAATCTTACCCTTTGGGACAACATGGATGGAACTGGAGATTATTATACTAAGTAAAATAAGCCAGTCAGAGAAAGACAAATACCATATGATCTCACTTATATATGGAATCTAATGAACAAAATAAACTGACGAACAAAATAGAAATAGAACCATGGATACATGGAACAGACTGACTGCTATCAGAGGGCAGGAGCGTGGGAGGACCAGATGAAAGAAAGTGAAGGGAGTAGCCAAAAAGCATATGTACTAGTATAAGACATAGACAGAGACAACAGTATGGTGATAGCCAGAGGGAAAAGGGTGGGGGCTAAGTAGAGGTGGGCAAAGGGGCGGGGAATGGGAGCTGAAAGTCTTTGCTTGGGGTTAATGGGTACAGGATGCAGCATGCAGTTGATGTTTTATTGAGTTGTACACTTGAAACCTGTATGGTTTTTCAAACCAGTGTCATCCCAATAAATTCAATTAATAAAATATATTTTTTAAAAATATATTTTATTGATTTTTTACAGAGAGGAAGGGAGAGAGATAGAGAGTTAGAAACATCGATGAGAGAGAAACATCGATCAGCCGCCTCCTGCACATCTCCTACTGGGGATGTGCCCGCAACCCAGGTACATGCTCTTGACCGGAATCGAACCTGGGACCTTTCAGTCCGCAGGCCGATGCTCTATCCACTGAGCCAAATCGGTTTTGGCAATAAAATATTTTTTAAAAGAGAGTGACATAGAGCAGTTTTGAATACAGAGTTAGAACAAGGAGTCAAGTCTGAGACCAAGGTAACAAAACCACAATAGCAGGTCTATGGCACTATTCTCACCACTGATGTCAGTATGCACTCCTTAGCCCTTCAACCCTCACTCCCAGGCCAGGCCTCTAGGTAATATCAGGAACACTAACCCGTAAGAACATAGCAGGAGCCAAGTTCACTCTTGTCATGCCCTCTGCTTCCATGACCCTGGATGACAGCATGAATATCAGTAGGGGAAATATTTCATGGAGCAGAAGAAGAAGCATACTGCCAAATAATCACCCTTCCACCAAGGTGCTCATTGGACTCAAGTTATTGTGAGGCTGCTTTGGATCAGGCACTGTGCTGGGTACTTCTAGATACATCATCTTAGTCTTCACAATGACCTTGAAATTAATAAATTTCTATTATTCTCTTGTGACAGGTGTGGAAACCGAACTTTAAAAGGGTTAAGAAACCTGACTAAGGCTGCACAAAGGGAGAAACAAAAACACAATAGTTCCATTCTAACCAAGGGTGGAGAAAAAGGAAGTTTGGACCTTTATGAATTATTAGATGTGTTTTTAAGAAATCTATGAAATTGCAATCTTACTTTTATCTTTTAAAAAAAGTAAGGCAATAAAAAATGTTGAATTTTTTTTCAGCTGAACATTAAAATACTGATTGTTCTGGAAAATAAAAGCTTTAGAGAGAATGCTGGTATTGTGGGTCAGCAACCTTGTTTACAAACTGTTTAATGACTAGGTGCAGGGACTCATATCCTATGAACATATCATATCGATGAGGTCCTAATCAGTTCAACAGTTGTCATCTTCTAGGTTTGTGGCAGTGCAATTATTTTAGAAAGTACCAGGTTTCCATTTTAATTGGTGCCTGGTTTATTTGTCTCTTAAGACATTTGGTTTGGTTTAAAATTTAAATTAAAACTAATACCTGGGCTTCGTCCTGGTTTCAGTAAACCTGCTCATTTTCCTCCTATATCTTAACGTGTTGTTGATTTAATTGCCTGACCAGGCCACAGAACAGGTGTTCCACATGTACGTCCGCTTTCATATATTACAACCCAAGCTCTATAGCCAGAGCAGCGTGAGAGCCACTCCAGAAGGAGCAATGGGCTCACAACTCTGGATGCAATTCGGGCAGAAGGCCCCTGCTCACCCACACACGGGATTTGGGATGACTTTTAATAGAAAAACAACCAAAGAAGAGGGAGACACACACTCAACTCTCCTGCTGTAGGCAGGAAGGCTGCCTACTCCCTGAAAATGTAACTCCTCAGGTGCTACTCGGGCCTTTCTTCCAGAACCTGCGAGTGGGCTTGCTCCGCCCCCAGCCCCATTCGGAAGAGAGGGGAGTGCAGTCTGAGGACTGGCATGCCCTCCGCCTGATCGGCGCAGAAACATGCTGCTGGCATTCGCAGGCACACGCAAATGATGTGGTATGTGTGCTCTTAGTTTCTATTTTAAGTATCCAGCAATTTAGTGGTTAATTAGCAATTGGCTGTCCACCAATATGCAAATGAATGACAAGCAAAGACCCTCTGCATCTGTAATTATTTTGCTGATTTACAAGCCACTTTCCTCTCTGTGTAGGTTTTCTGTGGTGTGCATTCATGCATCAGGGATTTCATTATTTTTAGAAGCATACTCAGTGCATTTTTATGGTTTAATATCTTCAGGCTTCAGTAATTACAGTATTATGGATATATGTATATATATACATATACATGTATATGTATATGTATATGTATATGTATATGTATATACATTGTCTGTTTTCCTTGTGTGGAATTCTTTTTTTTCTTTCCTTTTTATAAAGAGTGGAGAGTAAGATTTTTTCAAGGGACTGAAACCCAAATTGCAGAGAGGGTCAGAGTGCAAGATTAAAAGATGTATGTTTCTTCCCCTGCCAAATCCTTATCTGGAATCAGACGAGTCTTGTAATATTTGATTTTTCTCCCGAGCAGCTCTGGTGAGTCGAGCCACGATCAGCGTTATCCATCTGCCTACTTTGGAACAGGCTGTTTTACTATTTGGAGGTTGAAACGCTTTACGTTTTTGCCAGCCCATTAAGAAAGGCTCTTACGTTAAATTAAGTCAATTAATAAATGGAGACACATTAAGCAATCAATTTTGTCAGCCGATCTCCCCAGCATTATGTATGGTTGGCTGTAATCACAAGATAAATGCAATGTGCTGATCTATGGTAATGTTCAATAATACATTCTCCACCAGGCTCAATTCATCAGGGAGTTTCAGTAGGGGAGGCATTTGTTATTGGCTGTCTCTGCACCTCAAGGATAACACTTCTGTCCTTTTGATTGGCCGCCTCACTGCTGCAAGATTCTAACCATCTTGTTTTGATGATGAATATGAAGGCTCGCTAAGCCGGTCTGGAGCGGAGTGTCTCAGCGGCTGCGCTCCTTCCAGAGCCCAAGGACTTACAGCTGCGTCGCTGTCTTCCTGTGCCAACGACCCCCCAAAAGTTGTGATGCTTTTCTTTACCCAGTGCTTTGGAGCTGTGTTAGATCTCATCCACCTCCGCTTTCAGCACTACAAGGCTAAACGGGTGTTCGCCGCCGCTGGCCAACTTGTCTGTGTCGTAAACCCCACGCACAACCTGAAGGTGAGCTGCTCTCTATGGTTTTATATTCACGCCGCTAGGGTTCAAGTCCTTTCTCCTCCCGCGCGTGCACCGAGTGACCCTCCCGCGCGTGCACGGAGCTCCTGGCTAAGGCTGTTTCGCTGGGGCCAGGACCGTGTTTGGGACTCAGAGGCTGACTCGCGCCTTCTGGCTCTCTAGGTGGCTTGGTGCTTTCCTGGCGGTTTGCTTTTCCCCCTGACTGGCCAGAACAGCTGGAGTGATGGGCTAGTTTCTTTCCCCCAAGCGTCAGCCCAAGAGTTTGGTGGGGGTCAGAAGTGGAGGTGACGGAGGCAGGGATTAGGGGGCGTCCCCGCCCCTCTCTCCCAGATATTTGTAGGCAAATTCAGTAGACGGGGTTGAAAAGTTACCCAGATTGCAGCCTGTCCCATGTGTTTGCAAAAGCAGGCAAGCACATGGATTTTGGAAGGCCCCTCGGGCTGCCACTGAAGTAACGGGGCAGAAACACCGGACTGGGACCTGGAGTTGGCAAGCGGGGGGAGGGGGCTCTGTTTTCCTTGTGCTCAGACTCGGCTTGAGTGAGTGAGCATAGGTGTGAATGAGAGAGAGAGAAGAGAGAGGTCAGGAGTTTGTGTTTGCTGTCCGTGAGCTAGATACCTCACCCCACCCCGCTCCCCGCCCCCTTGCACCGCGGACTGAAGGAGGCAGAATCGCTTC